TCTAGTAAAATAGAAGTAGGTATAATAGAGCTATGAAAAAATATAATTTATGAAGTATATATAGTTAGTGTGAGTTGTGGGTTGCTCAAATGGAAGTATATAATACATAAATATTATTTTTATTTAGAATAAGCGATTATAATTTAAACTATGGAGTACACACGATTGAAACATGGTTATATTTGTCTGAACTGGAGGCAACTGTGACTAATACAAAATATATTTTTGCTAATTATTATTTACAGATAAAAATGAAACTCTTTTTTTTATTAATATCTTTTTTCTTCGTGGATGTTTCGGCAAATTATTCAGGTAATTATTTTGTTTTCACAGTTATCAACTGTAATCAAAATAATTAAAATTAAAAAAAAAAAAAATAATATTTCACTTTATTACAGATGTTTATTTGCAATATTTTTATATTACAAGTCGGTAACAATTTTGTTTAATACCAAATTTTTTCTAATTTTCTTAAATCCAAATTTTTTATATATATTTTTTTAAACATGTATCACAGCTACTTACATCAAAAGTGCTTATTCTATGAATAATTTAACAGTAGGAGGTATTCCTGGAGCAAGTAAGATATTATATTTAAAATAATATATTATTATATATAGAAGCTAATAGTCAAGTTATTAGAAAATACAAAATCACAATTTTTATCAATAGTTAAGATAAGTGTACCAAATATGTAGAACACAACAATATAATACATACATTTGCGATTTCTAATAATTTTATCTAGACAAAAGCGTTAAGTTACTGCTCAATGCCGAGTTTATTATTATTCTAAACATTTGTATGGTACCTAATTTGATTTAATTTTAATAATGTAGTACAGCCAAAATCTTCATTTGTTTAATCTAGACGGATTGGAGCATGTAATTGAGACAATGGTTGATGATATCGATAATGCCCGTCGCTTCAAGGAATTCTGTAATTTTAATTATAATAATAATAAAAAAAAATCAAGATATGAGTAGAAATTTGTTTTTGACCTTCGTCTTCTAATTTATAATTATATAATGTAATATATTTTTCCAATTCAACATCATTACATAATTTATTTAATTTCGATTTCAGGGAAAATTAATTTTTTGATCGCTGTACCGGGTAAGAGTTTTTGTTGAATTTTTTGAAAATATTTCCATAATTTTATTCCTATTGAATTTCCCTAAGAGACTGATATTATTGAATGTACAGTGGAGCGTGATTCTTCAAAGTTACTAACACACATTTTTTTCCTAACATGAAATTCGTCTTCCTATTCATAAAATAATAGAAAATTAAATGCAATATCATTAATTTATATGTTGTTAATTTCAGAACAAACGGAAATTCTCCCCAGAATAGCGGGTAATAGTTTTAGTTGGATTTTATGGAAGCGTTTCCACACAGTTGTTTGATATTCTTTATGCACACAAGACTTTTGTAATAATTTCAGAACTTCCATTTCTTCTGATTTATCAAAGTATAAACCACTTTTCATAATTAAAATGTATTATACTTATTGCATATATAACTTATAAATACTTTAATCACATGTACTTGTTGACAAATACCAATATGACATATCGGTTTCAATCGTAAAAAATATGTAGGTACAATAAAATGTATTATGTTTAAATTTTAGAAGCCAGTTTTTTTTTACGAATGATGATACAACTCATGGACCGTTTACTAGGTAAATACTAAACTAAACAACATAGAGTTACATATTTCTGTAGTTTTAAACAAAAACTTGTTTTCTGACTAAAAATATAATTTTAACCGTTTATTTAAACATAAGGTATAAGATATAAATTAACATTTGTACAGAATATATAGCCTGAATTAATATTGATTTAATTAGCCCTCAGTTATTAATCAAATGTTATGTATTAAATATATTAACCTGTTTTTATTAAATGCATAATGATTTGATGTTTGATATTTTTGTTACAGAAATTAGAAAGGAAGGATTTAAAAGGGACCTAAGTAATTACGATTTGTCGATAATCATAATAGCCTTAAAAGCTTGTTTACAGTTGTTATTTGCTTCGTTTTATTTATTTAATGTTTTATGTAAAAAAATTATTTTAATTAACTAAAATTTTTGTTGAGGAGAGAGAGAGAGAGAGAGGAATTATGTGTAATAAACTTTTTGGGATTTCAAGTATAGAAAACATACATTTGTTGAGTTTCAACACTAGTAAGTGATTGTACAAAAAATTAGTTATTTCACAATTCTTTGAAATGTAATGCAATAATTATATGTGTAAAGAGCAACTAAAATATTATTTATTATTATTATTTCTTCTCAACACTGTCATTTAATCTGTTTTTTTACTAGCTATGGAAACATTGAAACCTTATGCAGACCATAGGAGAGCATATGTTGTTTCAGCTTTAAAAAATATAATCGGACGTCGTTTTTTAGGTAAATATTTATTAAAAGTTGTATGGTTTTTGAACGCTTTTAATATATTTACACACAATATATTAAAATAAATAATTTAATATAACAAAGATTTTAATTTTTAACAATTAACCAAATGACCAAATTAACCAAATTACAAATAAATTATAACTCCTGACACGTACTTTTTCATGTAATACGAACAACAAAAACTTAATAGTTAAAAAGGGCCAAGTTCCAGAGCCCCTCCAAAAAAAAGTCATCATATCAAAAGAAGTGATTTTGACATTGTGGCCAAGTCTACTATTTCTTTAGTTCATAACCTCACTTCACTCCTACTTTCATGGATAACACTTCTCTTTTATTTGGATTGCTTAACACTTGACCAGTTTTTGAATGAAACAGTGATATGTGGGTTAGAAAAACTGGGTGAATTAGTTCTTGTAAAAATACACTGGCATAGCTGGAACTTGGCCATACCATGCTTAATGTACAATTTTTTAATAACTTTGTATTAACAAATAAAATAGCTGGGTCCTGCTTCATAAAGAAAGGTAGTAACTAGTAATCTAATATTAGCAAATTAAAAAAATTTCAAATTTTTTAGATGGATCTGTGGAGCATGTAGATGACGAAGCATCTTTATTAATTAAGTGCCGTTTGTTAGGATTATACTTGAGTACACAATCTCCAGAATCATTTATAGTAGGAGTTCAGATTGACCTAACCGACCTTACGTGTACCTTAACGGATAAAAATGATTCCAAAAGGAGATACAGAAAAATTGATACGGTATGGTCCGAAATAAGCATGGACAATATAAATCAATCCGTAAAATCACTTGAGCAACAGTTACTGTTTGGATATCCACAAGGTCAACCCATATTCTAACCTAATGTTAGAAAAAAACTGGCATCTATAATCATTTCATTCCATAATATTTTATAATTTATCTTATCTTTATCACTGTATTTATTATAATATCTGAAATTTTAAATGTCATTTATATTCTTGAGCTTTATGGGTAAAGAACCGTTTGTGGATTTTTTCAATACTGTATTCTACATTATACATTTTTAAGTACATAAAAAATAATCACCGAAAAAGTAAAGTTGTATTTTTTTATCTATTTATTCTAACTATTTACTTATGCTTCTAAACTCGTTCCTTATAATATGTCTAACTTTATTGAATGACCTTATTAAATACATGCATTTTTAAATCTGAAATTGATAAAATCACATTCAAATAAACGCTTCGGTGCAAATCAGTATTTAGTATTTTCCAACCAGTGCAGTCCAAACCAAGTACAGTGCAAACCTGTAAGAAAGTATGAAATTGAGGTGCTGTATTTACAAATAAGCATCAAAGCGTTTATTTGAAAGTGATTTTATATGAGAGTACTAGTACAGTAGAGTATAGTCATAATGGAATCTAAGTATAGAAAGGACGGAGAGGTTACAGTTCTTCAGGAATTATTATAAATTAAAGCGATGAAAGTGAATAAAATCATTTTCGAATAAACGCTTTGATGCTTATTTTTAAATACAGCACCTCAATTTAATATTTTCCAACTTAGCTGGCAAAAATTCCATACATATTTGGAAGTAATTTGACTATTTTTAAAAATGCAAAGAGCGTTGTAATTTTTAAGAAGAAAATGCAAATTTTTCAAAATTTGAAATATTTCATAAGAAACAGGAAATTGGATTTAAAACTACGGTTTTTTTTTATATAAAGAAAATATTTAAAACATAATGTTTTTACATTTTGTTGAATGCCCGTCGGTTTTTAAAATAATACAAAAAATAATAATTCGGGGAATATAAACATAATAAAAAAAAAAATTAGAAATTAAATGAAACCAAATTCGGTTAAGAAAATAACACTGCTAGGTGTTGCATTAGTCATGTAACATTCGACATCATGCGAAACACCTGAGTATACATGAGTATTTTGCGCTACATTGGTGTGCCTAAGCACAAATGAAATTTGATATTCATACCGAGTTTTAGTTACAAGTTTGAAAATTATATAAAAAAAACCAGCCGTGGGCGAGTGACAGGGTACAAAGTAATTCCCGGGCGGTCACAGGTTCCAAGGGGGCCTGGCTATGCCATTTATATAATTGAATATATAGATAAGCAGAAATTAGCAAAATACTTAAAAATATGTTAAGTATGTGTTTATGATATTTTCCACGTTCAAAGAAAACCTGTTATTTTCTGTTTGGTTCTCGTTTAATTTACTTCAATCATTATGATCTTTTTAAACTATTACAGCAGGCAAGTTTTGACATACATTTAAGTCGTTTAATAGTACAAATAAATGAAAAAGGTTCGACCGGGCTTTGTAACAATTACAGTGATATTTTTTCATATGAAACAAAACAATAGTCGTACCATAGTAGCTATAATATATTATAATGCAACTAAAAGGAATTACAAATTTCAAATTAAATAAGAAAATAATATTAATTTGAACGTAATGTATGTACTCGACAAATCGCAAAAAACCAAAAAAAAGTGAACCACTTGTGTAAATAAATCAACATAATATCTACAATGTGAAAAATATATGCATTGTAAATTTTCGGTCGAAGTAATAGCCCATCAATTCGTCGCAAGTAGTACATTTAGTTTTAAAAGCTGAACAAGTCCAAGAACCTCTTACGAACTCCACAATAATTTTAGTAAGTATTTCTATTGAACTCTAAACATTTTTATTACGCTAAAACTAAAAAGGCACGAGCCTAATGAGTCAAAAGTTATAGTTTGAAAAAACAGGATTTTATATTGCTAGTTATATTTTTATCGATTCTTAACCATCGTTTTACACAAACCAAATTTTGGAGAAAATTCTATAATATATTTTGGATTTTTTTTGTTGTTGGGCTTGAAGTGTATCAAATGACGTATAGCGAAAAAAACAGTTTTTAAAACAGTTTTTATAGTATCTCACTTATGTATACAACCAAGGTTAGAAAAAAAAAAAATATTTTGTCCGCCCCAAGTCAAAGAAGCGATTATTCAGCAAAACCATTAGATTTTCCATTAGAATTCTAAAAACTTCAACAGCACAGAGATGAAAAAAAAAATTTCTAGGAACTAAACTTATATACGTGTATAATTTTATTTACATTTTTTTTATTAATCGCCAAAAACAAAATTAAAAATAAGTTTCCTTTTAACGTTAAAATTTGGAAAACGTCTATTTTCTTGTTTGATTTGTTAAAAAGCACTTATAATTTACTGTTCGTTTGATATTTTTACACACAATATAAATCTAATATATATATATTTATAACAAATGTTTTCATCATCCGTGTTTTTCGTTTAGGTGTTTGTCGTTTAAATAAATTGGTCTACAACTAGCGAAGAAAAAGTCAATTTAAAAAAAAAACTTGTTATTTACTTTAAAAATCAGGCCGAGATTAAGAAAAAACGTTATGAATTTTGAATAATTTTGGAAATACCTTTTTTTACTTTCACTTAATTTTTATGGTAAATGTTACATTTGTATTGTTTTAATAATGTTTGCTACACTGTAGACTAGTTTATTTTACATCAAATGAAAAAAAAATTATTATTAAACAGCAATTATTGAGAAAATAACAAAACATATGACTCGAATTATAGAAATTTGCAAATAATGATTTCTATACTTATAAAAACGTGGCTGCTTTCTAGACGAAAGGAATGCTTATTGTTTTCACAAAAAATATTTTTAATTCTCAATGAGGTGTAGGAAACGTTTATTTTCCTGTTTTTACTTACAAAGAAGTACTTGTAATGTGTTTGTTTTATATCTGTATTCAAATTAAAAATCTAATATAAATATACTGTGTATATAAAAAAATGTATTCATCATCTGTGTTTTTTAACACGCTTATATTAGCTTCACTTGTATGTATGTTTGTATGTTTGTATGTAACTATGTAACTAAAAGAGATAGGCAACCGAACGTACATGCGTGTATTCATTGTTGTTTACCTGAAGTTTTCAAGTAATAGAGACACGTATGTACTAGAATTAAAAAACACGATTTTAAAGCACATCGAACTAAAAAGTGGAAAATAAATATAGTTTAAAAAAACTAAAAAACACGCTTAAATAGTAAAATAAACTAAAAAGTAGAAAATAATTTTCAATATAGAAATCAATTAATAAAAAATAAATAGTATTATTGTGAAAAAAGCGTGGAGTGCTACATATATCAGTTCTTGAAAAGCGCCCCACACGTTTTTCACAATAATACTATTTATTTTTTATTAATTGATTTGTTCATCGTTAAACAAAATTAGATTATAATGAAAAAAAAGTCAACTATTATTCACTTTAAAAATTAAATCAAAATGAAGAAAAAATAGTCAAAAAATTTCTTTATTTACTACAAATTAGTGTACTACTTGAGAAGATATTTCAATACTTTTTATAATGGTAATAACATTCTAAGGATATTTTTTAAAAGCGGATTTGACATCCTTTCTAAAAATATATTATCATCTTTCCACTATAAACTGATAAATAGTCCCGTTTTAAATCCATTATGGGTTGATAGGTTGGCTAAGAAGCATTATGCGTTATCAAGTTTAGACGTTTGAAAAGAGTACAATATGACTTCATAACTGTAATAACAACATTAAGTAAATCATTTTTTCTGTTTTCTATTTTAAATAGTGCAAACTAACTTGTGTACAATGCAATTTAAATAATTAACAGAGACTTATTTTTGTCTATTTTCAATGGGGAATAACACCAATTTTGGGTAGCAAGGTACCCTTCAAGATAGATTTGTAAATCATTTAGCGGTTTAGGAGATATTGTGGGTCTAGTAAAAAAATGTTTATATATATGCGAGTATTATTTATCATATTAAAATTGCCTCGCGAAACCGAAACCTTCTCATCTCTGAAACGGAGACAACTGTGACTAATATAAAATGAATTTTTGTTTATTGTTATTCGCAGATAAAAATGAAACTCTTCTTTTTATTGATATGTTTTTTCTTCGTGGATGTTTTGGCAGACGAAGATTTAGGTAATTATTTTATTTTCATAGTAATCAACTTAAAGTACAAGAAATTAAAAAAAAAAAAATCAATGTTTCACTTTATTATAGATAATTATATGAGTTATTTTTACCTTTCAAGTCAGTAACATTTTTTTTTATATATATAAATGTTTTTATAACATTTTAAAATTCACCGTTTTCATAAATATTTTTTTACATATGTATCATAGCTACTAGCATCAAACGTGCTTATTCTATGAATAATGTAACTATAGGGGATCGATCTGGATTAAGTGAGATATTATATTTAAAATAGTATACTATTATATATATAGAAGCTTTATTATATGTACCTAATTTTCAAGTTATGAGTAAATAAAAAATTACAGTTTTTATCATGAGTTAAGATCAGTGCACGTATGTACATATGTAGAACAGAACAATATAAAATATACATTAGCAATTTCTAACAATTTAATCTAGGGAGAAGCGTTAAATTAAATGGCTACTGCTCAAAGTTGGGTTTTATATTATTCTAAACATTTGTTTGGTACCAAATTGATTAAATTTTAATATTGATGTATAGTGAAAATCTTCATTTGTTTATTCTAGATGGATTGGAGCTTGTAATTGAGGCAATGGTTGATGATACAAATAATGCCCTTGAATACGCGGAATTCTGTAATCATAATTAAAATACTAATACAAAATATCAAGATATGAGTTGAAATTTGTTTTTGAAAATAATATAAAAATGCATTGCACGTTTATCTTTATGCAATTAATAAGTTTGTAAAAAAATGCAGTTGTTAGCTCAATCAACGTCGTCTGATTAGTATGATTTATTCTCATCGCCTAAACTGCATCAACTTTATAAGAATTCCCTAGTCTATATAATATGTTTTTTTCTAATTTGACCTTATTGTCTTCTAATTTATAATTTACGGAATGTCAATTTCAGGCAAAATTAATTTTTTGATCGCTATACCGGGTAAGAGTTTTTGTTGAATTTTATGAAAATATTTCCAATATTTAATTCCTATTGAATTTTCCAAAGTGACTGTCATTGAATTGAACATACAGTGGAGCATGTGTCTTCAAAGTTACTTGTACACATGTTTTTCCTACCATGGAATTCGTCTTCCTGTTCATAAAATAATAGAAAATTAAATGCAATATCATTAATTTATGTGTTGTTAATTTCAGAACAAACGGAAATTCTCCCCAGAATAGCGGGTAATAATATTCATTGCACTTTATAGAAAAGTTTTCACGCAGTGGTTTGATATTCTTTATACACACAAGATTTTTGTTTTAATTTCAGAACTTTCATTTCTTCCCCCATTGTTAAGTAAATACGCCTTTTTATATTTCAAATTCATTATACTTACTGCATATATCTTATTAATATTTTAATCATATGTACTTATTGACAAATACCAATATGACATATCGTTTTCAATCATAAAAATATGTAGGTACAATAAAATGTATTATGTTTTAAATTTTAGAAGCCAATTATTTTTTACGAATGATGATACAACTCATGGACCGTTTACTAGGTAAATACTAAATTAAAGAACACAGAGTTACATATTTTTGTAGTTTTGAACAAAAACTAGTTTTTTAACTAAAAATATAATTTGAACCGTTTATTTAAACATAAGGTATAAGATATAAATTAACATTTGTACAATAATGTTGTTCCTTAACTAATATTGATCTAATTAGACCTCAGTTATATAGTGAATTTTATGTATAAAATATATTTACCTGGTTTTATTTAATGTTTAATGGTTTGATATATTCGTTACAGGAATTAGAATGGATGGATATAAAAAAGACCTAAGTAATTACGATTTATTGATAGTAAATAGCCTAAAAAGCTTGTTTCAAAGTTGATATTAGTTTTGTTTTATAAATCTAATAATTTATGTCAAATAGTTATTTCAATAAAAATAAACTGTTTGTTGAGAAGAGAGAAAAAGGACTTAATGTGTAATAAATTCTTTGGGATTTCAAGTATAGAAAGAATACATTTGTTGAGTTTTAACACTAATAAGTGGTTGTACAAAAAGTTAGTTATATCACAATTCTTTAAAATGTAATGTAATAATTATGTATAAAGAGCGACTGAAATACTATTTATTATTATTTCTTTGCAACACGGTCATTTAATCATTATTTTCATAGATATGGAAACATTGAAATCTTATGCAGACTATAGGAGAACATTTGTTGTTCCTGCTTTAAAAAATCGAATTCAAAGTCGTTTATTAGGTAAATATTTATTTAGAGTTGTATGGTTTTGGAACGCTATCAATATATTTATATATTATAGAGGGTGATTTTTTAAACATGAGTCACTCAATATCTCATAGGGTTTGAAACAAAATTAAAATATTTTTTTTCTTATTGTTTTTATCCCCCTCCCAACTTAGTTTTTTTGATACCAACTTTTGAAACCTAAATGGTAACTTTTTTGACTGGTCGGTAACCAGTTTCGGATGACTATTTATGAAGTTATTGAAGTTTCAAGTTTAGGGCAGGAGGAAAGGTCGAGTGTAGTACTATTTTTATCTGCGCTCATTTCCCAACTGCACTTACCCCCTAATCCTAACTTTAAAACACATTTAACTTTAAAAATAGTTATCCGAAACCGGTTACCGACCAGTCAAAGTTGTAAGTACATTATTCTCAATTCGAATAGTTCATAAAATATATATGTTACCATTTAAGTTTCAAAAGTTGCTATTAAAAAAACTAAGTTGGGAGGGGGTAAAAACAAAACAAATTGTGGATAATTGAGATCTTATTGTATAAAAATAATTAAAAAAAAATATTTTAATATCTTATTAAACCCTATGAGATATTGAGTGGCTCATGATTAAAAAACAACCTGTATATATGTTTATATTTTTTTAAATTATTTAACATAACAAGGATACAACCTATTTACATTTTTAACAATTAACCAAAAAAACCAAATTAAGAAAATTACAAATAAATTATAACTCCTGACACGTAGGTACTTTCATGTAATACAAACAACAAAAACCTAATAGTTAAAAAGTGCAAATTTCCAGACCTCCTTCCCAAAAAAAGTCATCATATCAAACTAGTGATATCGACATTGTGGCCAAGTCTACTACTTCTTTACTTCATAACCTCACTTCATTCATACATTCATGGTAACACTCCTCTTTTTTTTGGACTGCTTAACACTTGGCCAGTTTCTAAATAAATATGACCTTTCCAAATGAGGTATAAAATAGACGACCACAATGTAGATGCCACTAATTTGATTGGCTGACTTTTATAGGAGGTGATCTGAACCTTTTTTATTTTCTTTTGAGTTATATTCTTTCTATCACGTTTCAAATTCTCCGGTTTTGAAACGCTTACTATTAAAGGCTCAATTTTTTACAGTATCCCAAGCTACATGAGCTTAATCTATGTTTCAAATTGCAAACGCTTATCTTAATAGGAAACAGAAATATGTGGGTTAGAAAAGCTGGGTGAATTAGTTCTTGTAAAGATACCCTGGCATAGCTGGAACTTGGCCTGGCGCACTGCCGTTCGCTCAGCTGTACAATGCGGATACCATGCTTATTGTATTATTTTTTAATGACTTCCTATTTGCAAATAAAATAGTTGTGTCCTGCACCATAAAGAAATGTAGTAACTAGTAATCTAATATTAGCAAATTAAAGAAGTTTTCAAATTTTTTAGATGGATCTGTGGAGCATGTAGATGATGAAGCCTCTTTATTAGCTAATTGCCGTTTGTTAGGGTTATACTTGAGTACACAATCTCCAGAATCATTTATAGTAGGAGTTAAGATTGACTTAACTGACTTTACATGTACGTTTACGGACAAAAATGATGCCGAAAGGAGATACAGAAAAATTGATAACGTATGGTCCGAAATAAGCATGGAAAACCAAGTCATAAAATCACTTGAGCAACAGTTACGGTTTGGATATCCACAAGGTCGACCCATATCCTAACCTAATGTTAGAAAAAAACTGGCATTTATATTCTGTTCAATCCATTTTATATTATAATTTATCTTATCATTATTACTTTATTTATTATAATATCTGAAATTTGAAATATTATTTATATTCTTAAGCCGATGGGTAAAGAACCGTTTGTGGATTTTTTTCAATAACGTATTCCACATTATACATTTTTAAGTACATATTATTGTATGTCGATTTCTGTTTTACGTCATGTCTACAAATAAAATAAATAATCACCGAAAAAGTTAAGTTTTATCTGTTCCAACTATTTACTTATGCTTCTAAATCCTTTCCTTATATGTCTACCTTTATTAAAGACTGTGAAAATTTGGGTAGCAGGTTCATCATTTATATTTCATATAGATATTTCAACTCAATGGTTATTATATAGCCGTAGTTCTAGCCGTTGGACTCTCCCACCGAGAAACGTCACTGACTGTTTTTTGTCTCAAAACATTGGCTTATTTTTTTTTACTTATAGATTTTAAATATCTAAATTAATCTTTTATTTAAAAAAAAAAAAATAATAATAATAACAATAGTAATTTCCATATTGTTGATGTGATTTGTTTTAATTATTTTGTATAATTAAAAGTAGATTTCACACACTATGACTTTGAAAAATTATGTCTTAATACTGTATCACATGAATTTTTCACTTTTACATTATTAGTCGACAATTCGGCTTCTTGAATCTAGCCCAAGGTCTTGTAACATTGCGTTCGATATAAAGTCACTTTCGAAAAAACGCTTCGATGCAAATCAGTAGTTAGTATTTTCAAGACAGTACAGACCAAACCAAGCACAGTGTAAACCAGCAAAGTAAGAAAGTATTAAATTGAGGTGCTGTATTTACATATAAACATCGAAGCGTTTATTTGAAATTTATTTAAGATTCTTAAGATTTTAGGTGTTTCTGTTAAAATATACAAAATCTGCAAAACACAGTTTTCCGGTATTTTAAGAAAAACTGCAGTGCCGAATTTTTTCTTCGTTTAATACATATGAGTTCTAACTACTGACAAATTTTAAAGGTCTTAAAATTACGGCTAGAAAAAAAAAACTTGTACCCCCCCTAGAGGGGGGGGTGGGAAATGGGAATTTGAAACAACAGACGTACGTGGGCATACTAAATAAATATTTTTTATAAACTTCAACTCGATCCGACTTTTGACATTTTTATGTCTTTGCTATAGTACACACATGGAAAATCGATACCGACACCGACACCTCTTATCATAACGAAAAATAACAGCTGATTTATCTGATAAGAGAAGGAGTTAGGGGGTGAGACATAGGGGATAGAGATAGGGGTAAGAGATGAGGGTTGGGTTTGGGGGTGGGGGCACATATGTTGTATTCACAACGTTCAAAATAGAAATGAATAATAAAATCAATAATTTAAGGGGCCAAATTCTCTATGAATTGTTATGGGCCAGACATTATGAAAACACTAAAATATTAGCCAGAAACTTGATATGTTTACTAGCCACCTTAGATACATAAAAATGTATACCGTGGTGTTGCGGACTCGTACGTAAGTTGTTAAAATGTAATATATAATACCTATGTGAAAACCTTTAATATAGCCTTGCAAACATTTCTCTTATCTCTCTTATCTTTGCTAAAAACCTTAGCGCGGCTACCCGTTACCACCACGAGAGCCGTTATGTCTTTGCTATGGCACACAACCGGAAAAATTGTTCTCGAAATTATAGCCAGTAAAAGTTCTAACTTAAAAACTCGTTTTAACTGTGAAGATGTATACTTTTTCAACTTTTACCTCCCTCCACCAAAAGTACCGTCTAAAGTAGATGAAATTTTTGATTTATAGAGTTGCTACTCGAAGGAATTGGTCCAGTGTTAAAAAAGTTACAGTGTTTACAGACACAAAAAAATACACATTAGAGTAAAACCAATACCTTCGCTTCTCTGCATCGAAGCTAAAACCAGCCGATAATTGGTTTGGTCCATCAAAATCCCGATTTTACCGAAAAATATGAGGAATCCAAAGTCAAGTAAAGCTTAAGTGTTTTGTATATAACATCTTGGGTACAACTCGTACGCAACCACGGAAGATATGTTTTGTCCACGGGAGGATATAAGGATATGTTGACTGATCAGCAAGTGGACCACCCCCATGCCCAACCCCATTCCCATCCCCATCCATAAGACACATCTCTAATCTCTTATGTCTTATCCTTCATCTATCTTATCTTATCTTATTTATTATCAGTTACCAGTTATTTTAGCGTAACCAAAAACCCTCACGAAAAATGTCAACTATTTTTTTTTCCGACTGTGTGCCAAAGTAAACTAATAAAATGTCGAAACAACGATGCTCTAAATATTTTAAATAACAGCCAAATTAGTACTAAATTTGTATGGAATTTTTGCTTTTAGACATAGTAGTACTTATAAATGCCACTTAGAAGTATCTAGCAATTATTTTTTATACGTGTTCATATACTATTTGTAAGTACGGCAGTTTTTTATTCTTAACAATTTCAACTTGAGTCGTTCAATTTTAAAGCGCTATATATATTGTGAAACACTTGTATACACCAAAAAACGCCCAAACAATGTATATATTTTCAACTTTAATAATTCATACAGACCAATGCCCCCTCCGCTCCTCACCCTATCACACCCCGTCACCAGTATGCTTCTTAGTGATGTATGTACACGATAAATCGCAAAAAAAAAAAAATAAGTGAAGCAGTTGTGTTAATAAACCTACATAATATCTACACTGTAAAAAATATATGCCTTGAAATTTTTCGGTCGAAGTGATAGCCCATCTATAAGTCGCAAGTAGTACATTTAGTTTCAAAAGCTGAACAGGTCGATTGTTGTCTAAGAACCTCTTACGAACTCTACAATAATTAAGGTAAGTATTTCTATTAAATTTCAAACATAGTAATTACACTAAAATTAAAAAGGCATGAGCCTAATGAGTCAAAAGTTATAAAGTAAAAAAACAGTTATAAGGATTTTTTATTGATTCTTAATTATAGTTTTACACAATCCACATTTTGGAGATAACCTTATAATAGATTTTGGGTTTTTCCGTTATTTGCCTGGATGTGTAGTGTAAAAAAGCAGTTTTTAAAATCGTTTTCATAATATCTCACTAAAGTAGACTTTGCGTATACAACCAAGGTTAAAAAAATATATATATATATTTTGTCCGCCACAAGTTAAAGAAGCAATATTCAGCAAAACCATTTAGATTTTAATCATAACTGAAAATTG